TTGGGAAATCAAAAAAACTTCGGCTTAATGCAATTTCGGCTTAGTGTGGCTTCGGCTTATCGAGTTTCACTTGTATAATCTTTTGACGGGATTTATTAATTTATTTCGGGACTTACCAGAAGTGGAAGTCTCGGATGAAGATCGAGTCCGGCCTTTCCCGAAAGGTTGAGGATGATTGATTTTGTAGACCTTGTTTGGCTGGCCCTGTTTGTTTTTGTCTATGTTTGGGGGTCGGACCAATATGCTACAATTCTTTGGATAATTTAAACTACGAAACTTTTCTGATTTATCACTAGTAACATTATCAAACTTATCAATCACTGTGGCACGTTATATAGCCCACCCCATAAGGGCCATGAGGGCTTGTCGTCGTCCCCGTTATCGACGCCCTTTTAATACCGGGCAAATGTTTGCTGTTTCCTTTTGCTTTTACAGTATTAATTTTCATGATTTCAGACTCTGACTAACTGCTTTCTCCTGGTAGACTTGTATTATTTATAGCTTCGTGTAAAAGCGGTTCATGCTTTTATTTTCCTCCTGGTCCGGGGGTTTCTTCAAAGTTTGCTGTCCTTTAGCCTTAACCATAGGTGTTTTTCCCGGGAAGTAAGAGTCGCCTGTGCGAATATACACATGATATGATAGTCGAAGATAGATCGATGCTTTACCTACTTTTAATGCCTAATATGGGTGTGGAATCAGCATGACGTTGACGAAATATACGAGTATTATGTGATTAGACAGTTCTTCCTGAGGTTTAGAAGTAGTAGATTGCGATTTTACTGTAATTATCATTTTCACGAAGATTTTAGATCTGGAGGTAATTTTTTTGTTCATCCTCTAGATAATTTTTTAAGTTTTGAATAAAATCATCCTAGAGGATTATCACTAGATTGCGCTTTTCACCAAGCACTGTGGGATTCATTCTTGAACCAATATAATGCTTGAATATCGGCAAATACTATACTAGCGTGTAAAAGTGTCGAAAAAAGTGTCGGAATCATTGACTATAATAATACTATGGGGTTATTATTACCTACATTAACAGCATTAACAGCATTAACGAGTCTGATGGATGCCATGCCAATCTTCAGTGAATTAACAGGAACATTAGCATAGATATGGGCAATAGAAGAATTTCTAAAACTATTAGAAGTAACCATTGATGCCATAGTACGACTCCGAAGATCACCCATGATTTGCAAGAATGTTATGAAGTTCCAAGAATTTTGGTCCAGATAAACACCCTTGAAGAATACTAAATGCTCTATCTCAAGCTTGATTCACATCTTAATCTATACCAGCCAAATATGTCATCGATTAATTAAATATCAATATCTTCATGATGACTACCTGAAAATATTGGTGCCGGGATTGTTGCCATGTTTGTATGTATATTTATAGGTAAATTATTTAGGAGCACAAAAATTTGCTAAAATTAAATTGCTAATCATCCTTTATCCCTTGGCATTTTTGTAACTGCCTGGTTTGATCGGTAACAATGAACTAATATGCGCCTGTCTTTTTGATTTTTGATATAGATAGCCAAAATTGCGAGATCTTTCGATATTTTGCTGATTCCAATAATCCAAGGTTTTGTTGTTGGATTACCTGAGCTTGGAAGGTATCTCCTTCTTGAGTAAGTTGGTTAATATGATTTTGTTGAGAGTATCAAGTTGCCTATGTCTGTTAATATCTTGCTGTAATTGTACTATTTGAGCATCTCGATCATCTCGTTGAGTCGTAATATCATCTAAATCCTGGTCTTTTCTTTGATAATTAGCTCTAATAGTATTTAAAGTGCCGTACATACCTTGGACAATATTGGCTGGATTATAGCCCTCTTGTAATATTTATAAGGATTTATATGTGCCATATCTGTATCTTCCTCTTCTGAATTATATAAACTCGGAGAGCTTCTCCGGGAAGAAATAACTTTGAATCTATACCTCAAGTTTTCCATTTTCTCATAACATTCTTGTAGGATTTGATCTCCTGAACCTCCTTTGTGGCAGGGACGATATCGCCTATCTCAACTCTGCCTTTTCTTCTTCTGAAGTCGTTCTAGTTCTTTATTGAGAGATTGGCTCTCGATATAATGATCCCTCGATAATATGATGTTGGCTAATATGATGGATGCTTATAAAATTGGGCTCTGATATAATGAAGATTATTTATAATCTCGCGATATAACTTTATAATGATCATCACCATAATTCATATTAAATTAAACCAATTAAATTAATCAAAATTTCGATGTTTCTGTGATAAGTTATCATTCTCGCAACAATATATGAAGAATAGAAGTATGGTTAGCAAAAAACCTGCAATAAAGTGAGTTTCTCCAACGGGCGTTCAAAAAAGAGATTTGTGTTTAAAAAAGAAAGCTTATCTTAATTTGACTCATGCAACGCTTGCTAAACTGTATGGAATTAAAGAAAATACTGTCTCAAAAATTCATCGTACTGGCTGAATCTAGACGAAAGTTTTCCTTTAGCGAAGAGAAAACGCAAACGAATTGCCGCATATCCTGTGATTGAAGAAGCTCTTTATACGTGGTTAGAACACGCAAATCAAGTTTTCCAAGTCATATCTGGTCATATTTTACAAAAAAAAGCGAAAGCTTTTGCAACTCTGGCAATTTTAATGCATCAGATGGCTGGCTTTCAAACTTTAAAAAGCTTTATAATCTTTACTGAGAATCACCAGTTAGAAGACATCTACAATTGTGATGAGACCGCATTGTATTGGCAACTTCTTCCGTCAAAATCTATTGCGACTGGTCCGTCTTCTGGGATCAAAATGCCAAAGCAACGTATTACAATCTTATTAACCGTTAAACGCTACCGGAAGTCATAAATTAAAACCGTTAATTATTAATAAATGGCAAACTCCACGCTCGTTGAAACATATCGACAAAACGTCTCTGCCTGTTTACTATTTTTGGAATAAAAATGCCTGGATGCAACGGTCGATATTTGAGATTTATAAACCTTAACAATATGATGCAGCAAAGTGGACGTCACATTCTTCTTTTAACCGATAACGCATCATGTCATTCTATTGATATTATTGATTTACTGAGTAATGTCAAAGTCCATTTTTTGCCGCCAAACACTACTTCTCATTTGCAACCTATGGACGCGGGGATTATTTACAGTTTTAAAGTTAGTACAAATTAACAGTTTTAATTAAGTTGAAAGGTCATTATTTAACGTAATATCAATTTAAAGGCCAACTATCGTTGTGAAAACCGTATCGATGCGTATGATCTTGCGTTAAATACGAGAACAAACCGAACTTACTATTGCAGAAGCAATCATATCAGCTGCAAGCGCGCGGGATAACGTTAATATTAACACAATTCAGAACAGTTGGAAAAAAACTCGGATACTGTCACAATCCAACATGGATATCGATAATGAAATGAATGCACTCTTTAATTTTAATGAAGAGGAGGAAGTTGCCAACGACAGCGCTAATATTCAACATTTAATTGACCAATTACCTATTTCGAATCCTTTAACAGCCAATCAATTTATCCAAATTGATGGCTCGATCATTGACTGACAATCGAAATGGTAAAGCATCCTGACGAACCCGACAAGCCCGAAGAGCAGTTTTCTATTGTCAAAAGCGGTGAAGCAGTTCACGGAGTAGACGTAATTACTAATTACATTAGAAAGCAGAACCAAGAGTTTGTTATCACACACGAAGAATTTAAAACATTGTTAAATATAAAGAAAAAAAATACTCTTACATTCAATTAATGTGAAGCGACAAGGCACCTTGGATTGTTTTCTAAGATAGAATAGTTATCTGAACAATTGCCATACTGTACTGCTGTATATAATAAAGAATTTTTGCTTGATACAGTCAAAGCTGGTTATAACGAATTCTACAAATATTCTTTTTAACCAGAAATTCCTTATAACGAAGGTTACTTTTTTATAGCTAAGATTATGACTATTTATAATTGGCTTAGAGAAAATCTTCGTTATAAACGAAGTTCGTTATAGCCGGCTTTGACTGTAAATTAGTTTTTAAAATTTAAATTCTGGTCTACAATATTACGTATTTACTACACGATGTTTCTTTATAATATTATTTGCGTTCTATTGTGTACTAGTACTAAAGTATATTACTAAAAGTGGATAAATTGAACATAAGAAGTGACAGTTTAATGTTTTCGTAATCATTTCATGTGCCATCGCATTGTATAATAATAAATGATTGAATATATTAATATGGAGAAAGAAAGAAAGATAATCAGGAATTTATCCATGTTACACACATCCGACATGTTACACATTTCCTTTCTCACCGAAATTCCACCCCAAGTTATCTATTCGTCTGATTATACTACCCTAAAAAAGAAAATATTTCATAGTGTAACATGTCGGATGTGTGCAACATGTCGGATAATATCCTGATAATGAAAGAAAGAGGTCGTATTAGTATATAATATTAATATTACAGATGACGTCATTAAATCCTATCACATATTGAATTATGTTACACACATAATCTTATATGTGTAACCTTTACACATAATCGGGATATTATCCGACATGTTACGACATGTAGTATTACAACTATAGGTGATATTTCCATAAATTATGGTCGTGTAACATGTCGGATAAATTCCTGATTATCCTTTACACCGATACATCAACGCCATTTACTATTAAATCTCACTCCCGCTCTACCGATAATTTCGTAATATTTACTAAATTGGGAATGGTGTCAAGCATTCTGATTGAACACAAGTTTCTTATGCATAATTCCGTCTTGGTAATCAATATTTTTCCTCGCTCGCTGTGCCATTGTCTTTGCTATCCGAAATCAACGTTAGCATGCAAGCTAAAATTTTACTTCGTCATTCTAATCATTCGTTCCACTATTAAAATATTACGACTATTGTTAATATCAAGATAGATGTGTCTATTTATTTAAGCTCTAATACTAAATACGTTCTACGAAAATGTGACCAGGTCCGTCATCAATACTCCGATATTGCTAGACCAACTGATATTAGTCAAAAAACTTGAATAAATTAACCAAAAAAATGTTGCCGCCAAAAATTATTAATTTCGTTTATAAATAATTGGTTATACAAACAGAATTACTAAAAAAATTAAGTTAACTAGAATTGGCTTCCTGGGCTTGTGCCAATCGAGCCTCCAGACTTCTCAAAGCTTCTTCCTTTGCCAACAGCTCTTGTCTCTTTTCAGTAATTTCTCTCTGAACCTTCAGTTCGATTTCTCTCAGCTGTTTCAAATGTCAGGATTATAAGAAGACGTTCACATCCTTGCAACTATTGTTAATTATCAAGAGTATCTTACCTTCTCTTCTTCTCTCTTTAGTTGCTCTTCCTTCAATCGCACGCTTTGGGTGGCCAAATCCTCCGGTAAGATGCTGTTATCTCTGCAAAAATAAAAATACATTGAGTACTGTCTCCAGGAACTCAGTTTATTGGCTGAATATGCATAATAGCTTACTCGGTCGCGTGATCAACACTTCGGCTAAGCTTCTCAGTACGGTAATTCTCGTATAAGAAATCGTGAGTAATTTCCTTCAAGTCTTGCAGGTGAGAACTAATGGGCAGAGGATGAGTGATAAGCAGTGACGTTTTTTATGATTATCAACTTAATCTAAAGAATAGATACCTCAAAAGAGCAGATCGCAGTTTACCAAAGTCGGAATGTTGAGGATTTTCAACTAAAAATAAAATAATATTCTCAGCAGAAGGTTGATAGTGTCCGAGGAATAAACGGCCCAACTTTACCTTCGACTACACCCCAAGGATACTGGCGTCCTCGAACAGCCCTTCCGTTCACCATAATTTCTTCGTCGCTTCCAATAATCGCAAACGGCAAAAGTGCCTACAACAGAATTTATTACTAATCGGCATCTAAAGGGATATACAATGAAGAACAGTCGGCCTCTGTTTCATACCCGTAATTCCCTGTTTTCCTCTATGGTCTCCTCATCATCTTCTTCCACGTCGAATGGAAAGTTATATATCGGAATCGTGTAATGATCGATATCTTCCATAATCTTTTAATGATAGAAATTATTTAAGTATGTGTGGTTTGCAAGACTCCTTATGTAAAATCAACATACCCTTTTCTTGAATTCTTGAAGTTCGCTTGGTGTCAGTGTGTCTGCTTTACCAATAACGGGAATAACGTTGACACGAGGGCTCAAGCGCTTCATCAGCTCGATATCGATCTCACGTAAACTATTATGACAAAAGTTAATTCTCATGGTAAAATTGACTAATTAAATTAATATAACAAATAATACTTACGAGTGACCCGTTGGAGCAATGAAATAAAGAAGCGCATGCACTCGATTGTCTCTAAAACGAGGGTTTCTTTTAATGCGCGACTCTTCAGCAAGGATGTCATCGTATTGTCTCTCTAAATATCCCATAATCTCTTGAAAACTTTCAGATAGATATTGCAGGTTAAGGGCAATACTCAATTTCAAAATGTTGTGAAATTTAGCAAAAACCGCTTACCAAAATTCATTGTCTATGTTGTCACCGAATCCGGGAGTGTCTACAATGGTTAAAGCAATTCTGACTCCATCCTCATCCAATTCTACGAATTGTGATAAAGTTAGCCCACCCAACATGTTCATGACGTAGAGTTTTTACAGAATTCACAGACTTACCAACAGTCTTTGGTGTGATGCGAATGCCTTCTTCGTTATGTGCTTTCTCGGGATTGTCACATACTTTTTTGGGTAGCACCTCACTCCCGCACAAAGTATTGACGAAAGTCGTGCGGCCTGTCCCGGACGCACCTAAACGTATAAAAATGTACAATTAGACAACTTATTCATATTAGACGACTGCCATAGAACAATGGGTTCTTAGGATTAAAACTGGGGTCTAAAACTCTAGTTGACAAAAGCTGCCGAAAAACGTTTGCTGATGTACGAACAATTGTTTCG